GGGCATACAAGCACCCGGGCCCACAAACGTCATTCAAGTGCTCGGTCTCCTGAAAGAGCCAGAGTGGTTTGTGCTGCCATTCTGAAACAGCATAGTTGTTTTTCCTGCTCCTGCTGAATCAGAAAGACCTCTCTTAGAGGAGCTGGGCACACCACCAGCAAAATGCTGGCTACCAAGAAGCCATGCTTAACTCTGTTCTTTTGTGTCTAAAATTACTTTTAAGCTTTTAGGTTTTATGTGGATGTAGCTAGTACATATTGGAGCACCAATTTGTTGTAGGAGCCGGCTTGCTTGTTCCCAGCTGCCCAGACTTGAAATAACCACTCAGAAACTGTATTAACTGTAACACTGCTTGGCCTATTAGCTTATGCATATTTCTAGCTCACTCTTATCTCTTAAATTAACCCATTTCTATTATTTTATATTTTACCATGGGGCTCATGGCCTACCAACAAGGCAAGGTTCGAGCTGGCGGCTTGCATCATTCTCCTCTGGTGGGTCCATGGCATCTCCTGATTCTGCCTTCTTTCTCCCACCATTCAGTTTAGTTTTCCTTGCCTAGCTCTATGCTGCCCTATCACAGGCCCAACACAGCTTCTTTATAAACCAATGATATTCACAGCATACAGAGAGGAATCCCATATCAGAAAGAAAAAAGGTCAAGTTGTATAAACTTAATAACAAAATACACAGAAGAAATATGTGAAATAATAATAAGTATTCTGAAAATTATCAATAAAAATCACTAGACGAGGGAAAGCACTGTTTTTTCCTAGTGGATCCTGGTTTTCAGGATGCAGAGGCAGGAAGATTGTAAGTTCAAGACTAGGCTGGCTACAAAGTGAGCCCCCCCCATATGCACATCTGTGCACACAGCATCTCCAAACAAGAACCAAGAAGTGGAATTAAGAGACAAAAAGGCGATGATGGCTTAGTGGTTAGTCAGGGTGCCTGTCTGGCATGTGCGAGATCCTACCATGTACTAAAGATGACTAGGAATCCAACAAGATTAGTACAGCTGCTTTCGCCATCATAGGACGATCTAACACAAAGTCAAAGGAGCAAACCTAGAAAGTCATCTCTGAACTGAGACAAAAATAAGGGCCCAGGAGACTGGGACTTTGTGGCACTCGCCTAAGGAGCCGGGTGCAGAAGAGTTCTGCTGAGAAAGGAGAGCTGAGAGGAAAACCACTCGCCAAGAAGGCAAAGTCTGCTGCAGAAATAGCTTAACACTCGGCAAACCTGTATAACTCTCTGGTTGTCTAGAGGTAGTTTTGACCCCTAAGACTTCTTACAGCAGTATTTAAAAACTTCAATCGCCGCCAGGTGGTGGCGGCGACACCTTTAATTCAGCACTTGGGAGGCAGAGGCAGGCAGATCTCTGCGTTCTAGGAAACCTGGTCTACAGAGTGAGTTCTAGGACAGCCAAAGCTACACAGAGAAGCCCTGTCTCAAAATAAATAAATACATTTAAAAAATTTTTTTTCGAGACAGGGTTTCTCCGTAGTTTTTGGTTCCTGTCCTGGAACTCGCTCTTGTAGACCAGGCTGGTCTCAAACTCACGGAGATCCGCTGACCTCTGCCTCCCGAGTGCTGGGATTAAAGGTGGGCACCACCACCGCCCGGCATAAAAATTTTTTAAAATAAAATTTCAATTGCTCTGACTAGTTCCAAAATAAGAACAGGAGTGTGGAGACCTGGACGCTCAAGAAAATGTGATGGACATTTGCTCTCAAGCAGCAATTCATTTTAAAAAATGATTGACAGATGAGCCTTGTGCACCACTCGAAAGCTATACCTAATGACCACAACCTCCATGTCCACAACAACTGATACACTGTGGATTGCTATCCTCTGTGTGCATGCTGTGTGCACCTGTGTATGCATGTGTGCATGTGTGTGCATGCACACTCACGTGGGCACATGAGGTCAGAGGCTGACACTGAGGGGTCTTTCCTTAGTCTCCTCTCGATCTTTTTTTTTTTTTTTTTTTTTGAGACAGGGTCTCTCACTGAACTTAAGGCTCACCATATCAGCAAGGCTGGCCAGCCGGTGAAGCCCCAGGACCCTCCTGTCATAGCTCCTCAGCACTGGGGTACAGGTGTATACCACATGTCCTGATGTTTGTCCAAGCTCAGGTCTCCATGCTTGCACAGCAAGCCCTTTACCCAGCCGCAGTCCCACTTTGGGGTCATTAAACAGAGTTTCTCTGTGAATCAGTCTTGGCTGTTGTGAAACTCACTTGCCCAACCAGGCTGGCCTTGAACTCACAGAGACCTGCCTGGCTCAGCCTCCCAAGTGCTGGGATTGAAGGTGTGTGCCATCACTCTCCGGCTTCATCGAGTAGCCCTAGCTGACTTAGTACTCACAGAGATCCATCTGCCTCTTCCTCCCAAGTGCTGGGATCAAAGGGGTGCACCACCAGGCCTGGCCTAATTTATTTATTGGCAGAGACAAGCTAGCACTAAGTGGATGTTGCCAAATATGAGGGGCACAAAGGAAGTTGGGTTTATCAGCAGAGTTGAGAGTACCAAATGTTTGCTTAAGAAATGTCCAGAACCCACTTTATCATATTTTTCCAGAGCTCAATTCTTCCTGGGTTACTCTTCATTCAAAGATTCAGGAGATGGGAGGTAGTGGATTGGACTGGAGAGCTGGCTCAGTAAGCAAGAGGATGCAATGCTCTTGCAGAGGACCCGAGCTCAGTTCTCGGCATCCCACACCACAACTCCATGGATCCAGTGTGCCCTCTTCTGGACACTGCAGGCACTGCACTCATATGCACACACCCACATAGGCACAAACACATATGATTAAAAAAATAATAATAAATCTTTAAAGACAAAACAAAAGACCGTGGAGATCAAAAGGAGAGGAATCCTGTGTCCTTATGGTCTTCTCCCAGCTGGGCCTGGGCCTGGGCCTGGGCCTGGCACCTGGCTCAGGCTCCCACCACTTTCTGCTCCAGGCTCCCTACTCCCCACTGTCTTCCACATGCTCATTCTTCTAGATTTTCTCATCTCTCAACCAAGACTGTCATTGCAATGACCAAACAATTCCAGAATGTCTGTGACACTCGGCCCATAGTTGGCTCAGCGGTGGGCGCCACAGGCTGGCAGTTCCACAGAAAGACAACCAAAAGAACTAACTTCTAAGCCGGGTTCACAAACCGCATGACCACAGAGTGGCAGAATCCCCTATTTTGACTTTCATTCCCTTGTATCAGCAAATAGAAACCACTTCGTGGCTGAGCATAAAAGCTAACCCTAGCACACGGGAAAAGGAAGCCAGTGGCCCTGAGTCACAAACACCAGCAGCACTTGTGAGGGTGGAGTTTAATCACAGCCCAGGGCTGAATGACTAATGTTGGCTGTCTGAGCTGGCTGGGCTCACACAGAGGCCTGAGGCCTGTGCTCCACGGCCCCTGCAGTGCTTACTGACAACAGTCCGCCCTGCATCCACTAGCTCCTCCGTTTTCTGAAGCCCTTCTGAGTTTGTGCTATCCAGTCCTTCTCTGTCACCAGTTTTGAGTTGAAAAAGGTCAAAATGCCAAAGATGATTCTCTTATCTTATTGGGATAAAGTACAAACCCTTCCCATACAGTTCTGCCTCAGTATTTTTTATCAACTAAGTGGTAAGCACTCATGATATAAATGTCAGACAACCCCCAGAGACAACACTCCAGGGCCAATAAAATGTGTTCACTACACAAGAAGCTAAGTTCTCACCCCGACTGACTCAAGAGAAAAAGTTTAACGTGGTCTGGCAGGAGAGATGAGGCCTAGCAGCATTTACTCCAGAAGAAAAGGTTGACATGATGGCTTGGTGAGTGACGGCGCCTGCCAAGGCTGACGAACCACGTGATAGGAGGAGATTCTGACCTCCACAGGCGCACCAAATCGTACACGTGCATGTGTCTATCCCAAACAAATAGACTTAACTTATAAAGAATTAGTCTCAAACTGTGCAGTGGTGGCACACACCTTTACTCCCAGCACTCGAGAGGCAGAGACAGGCAGATCTCTGTGAGTTCGAGGCCAGCCTGCTCTACAGAGCTAGTTCCAGGATGGGCTCCAAAGCTACAGAGAAACCCTGTTTCAAAAAAAGCAAAACAAAACAAAACAAACAAAAACAAAAACAAAAAAAACCCACCCCCTCCCAAAAAAAAGTAGTATAGTCAGGGAGTAGGCTCGTGTGCCCCATCTCTCTCTAGACATGAGCATCTTCTACAGTGTCACAAACTTTCTGTCAACAGTGCCCCACTCCAGCTATAGTCATGCACACCAGCCTTCCAGACTCTAAGACAGCTGTACCAAAGAAACTGCTATCCTTAGATTAGCACCTGCTTCTTGTTTTGTGGGATATTAGCAACGGTTTGGAAATGCCACTCAAAGACTGTCACATGTACATAAGTCAATTGTTTGTAAAGAATTAAGACGTGACAGCCTCCACAACTAACATTCGATAACTGCAGAATCAAAAAAAAAAAAAAAAAAAAACGCAGGGCCTAGTGGCCAACAGTGTCACCTGCAGACTCTAAAATGACCGCGGTACACAGATGTCCCTTTGCTCCTCAGTACCTGGGGAAACAGCACCCTGGCTGCTTGGTAAGGACATCATAACCACACATCTCTTGTGACTGCTGAATGTCTCATCTCTTGGAAAATGCCAAAAACACTACAACCCCAAGAGCCCACAACTATAGCAATAACCTTTCCCCGAGTTGATTTAATTGATTTATAATTATCTATTCATATCCAACATGGGCACCTGCTAACGACTGCTACAGTATGGATCACATTATAAGATGATTTCATACTTAGTACATTCTGGAGTAGACCAAGGAAGCCTTAGCAACAAACTGAGCGGCATTCTATAAAACAACACCAGAGAATCAGCCAGGCTCTGACCCTCCTTGCTCAGGACTACACCAAGACAGAGGTGGTTTTGCAACTGGAGGCCTGAGCCAAACCTGAGCTCTCGAACATGCACGCACTTACCTTAAGAGCAGCTCCTTGGGTAACTTTTTGTTGATAAGGCCATCATCATTGTTTGAGAAAACCTGCAAGAGAGAGAAAAACTGTACAACAGTTCTTCAGCTAATGTATGAAAAAACTAAATCACGTTTTTATACTGGGTCACAGCAGCACTACTTACTATCCTACAAGAAAACAAAAACTTCACGATTGGAGTTCTGTGCCCAGGACCCATGTCAGGGGGCTCACAACACCCCTGGCCTCCACGATACCAGCACACAAGTACATCTACCGCCCCATCTCCAACAAACACACACACAATTAAAATGAATAAAATAAATCTTTTTAAGATGGCAACACAGCCATTCGTGCACTGCATTGTACTGGAGGCTCCAGTGAGAAGGCAGCAAGAGAAACAGAAGACATAAATGACATGGGGCTGTGTAGAGACAATTCCAGAAACCCACAAACATACCGTAACTCATCAAAGAGTTCATAAGACCACACATTTATAAAAACAGAAATGATACACTTTTAAAGAGTTATTTTTAGTTATGTGTGTGCACATCTGAGCGCAGCGCTCTAGAGGCCAGAAGAGGGCGTCGGATCTCCTGGAGCTGGAGTTACAGGCAGCTGTGAGCTGTCTGCCCAAAGTGGGCCCTGGGAACTGAACTCCAGTTCTCTGTAGGAGCAGCCGGGGCTCTCAACTGCTGAGCCATCTCTCCAGCTTCATGAAAATATATTTCTATACATCAGAAATGGACAACTTGGAAATGAATTTTAAAAGCAATCAAATTTATAATGGCATTAAAATGAATAAAGTACTCAAAAATGAATCTGACAAATTATATATATATGTATGAGTTCCATTGCTGAAATTGCATTCTGGGTTTGGAGAGATGGCTCAATGGGTCCGATGGCTTGTTGTGCAAACAGAAGGCCAGAGTTTGAATCCCAGAACCCACATGAAAAAGTCAGGCATGGTTGTGAGCGTCTATGACGCCAGCACTGGCTGACACTGGATTCCAGTTCATTAGCCAGCCTAGCTGAACCAGTGAGCGTTAAGTTCAGTGAAAAACCTTGTCTCAAGGGAATAAGGTGGATGTGATGAGGAGGCTACTGACATCCTCCACGGGCCTCTACTTGCGTGTGCACAGGCATACAGCACACACACCAACGTACACACACATAATACACAGAGGCATACAGCACACACACCAACGCACACACACACATAATACACAGAAGCATACATCACACCCACACCCACAGAGGTATATATTGCAATGTCTGCTCATCCCTTTAAGAGTCAAACCACTCGGGGCTGCCCGCCGCAGCCACTCCGGGATCCGCAGCATTTTACTTTTACCATTGCATATATCTCACCCACACACCCATGTGTATGTGTGCACACAACACAAAGGGAAAAAGAAAAGAAATTTTGCTTTACTGGTTGTTGGGAGTTGTGGTCAGGCCCGCAATTCAGCACTCTAGAGGCTGAGGCAGGAAGATTGGGACATAAAAGATATCAGCCTGGCCTACAGAGTGAGGCCTACCCTAGAACATCCAAACAAGAAGAAATGAGATGGGGGAGGGAAGGGAAAGGAAAGAAAATTCCTTCAGAACTGCTGAGAGAAACTGATTATACGAAATAAACTGATAGACTCCACGTTCACGATAGTGACTGCAGGCCAGCAGCCCAAAACTGCTGCGCAGGCCTGCAGCTCCCACCATCCGCTCTAGAGCTCAAGCTCGTGAAAATACAAGGGACCCAAAGTAGCTAACACAGGCCTGGAAAAGTCTGAGAGCTCAGTCCTCCTGATCTCAACATTTGCTCTATGGCTAGGCACAGGAGTACACACATCTCAGCTGCTGCAGGGCTTGATGTGGAGTGATTGCTTGAGCCCAGACACACACACATGCATACACACATGCATGCACACATGCATGCGCAGACACACACACACGTGCATGAACACACACACACACACACAACTAAAATACTGTAATGTTGATTTTTAACTCTATATTCAAACTTACATATCTGTGTGTGTGGTGATTTGGATGAAAATGGCCCCCACAGGATTATAGGGAATGGCACTATTTGGAGGTGTGGCCTATTTGGAGGAAACTCGTTACTGAGGGTGGGCTTTGGAGCTTCAGAAGCCCAAGCCAGGCACTGTGTTACTATTTCTTCCTGCTGCTGCCAATCCAGACATAGAACTCTCAGCTGCTTCTCCAGCACCATGTCTGGAATGCCTGCTACCATGCGTCCCACTATAATGGCAATGGATTAAACTTCTAAACCATCAGCCCCAATTCATTGTTTTCCTTTGTAAGAGTTGTTGTGCCCATGGTGCCTCTTCACTGCAATGGTATGTAATTGTGTGTGCAGGACCCACAGAGGCCAGAAGAGGGCATCAGACCATTTGGAACTGGAGTTACAGGACTTGTGAGTGGGCATGGGTGCTAGGAACTAAACTCAGGTCCTCTAGAGGAGCAATCTTAACCTGCGAGTCATCCCTCCAGTCCTAAAAATATAAGTTTTTAACTAGAAAGCTACAGTAACTGAAATTCTGAAGTCTGGTGTGGGAAGTACTTCTTTATGTGCTGCTTTTACTGGTTAATGAATAAAGAAGCTGCTTTGGGGCTGTGGCAGCGCAGAATAGAGCAAGGCGGGAAGTCCAAGTAGAGACAGAGGAGAAAAGAAAGTGGAGGTGAGGAGACGCCATGTAGCTGCTGAAGGGGTAAGATGCCCACCCCAAAACCTTATCAGTAAACCATGAGCCTTGTAGTAAAGTACAAAATAATAGGAATGGATTAATTTAAGATGTAAGTGTTAGTAAATAAGAAGCCTGAGCTAACAGACCAAGGAGGGCTTTAATTAATATAGCTTTTGTGTTATTATTTTGGATCTAGGCGGCTGGGAGGCATGATTAAGGACAAAGTGAATAGGACTGAAGGCCCAGAAACAAATTCTATTTCGGGATTTTTGGCTTTTGTTTTGTTTTGGTTTGGTTTTCTAGACAGAGTTCCCTTGTAGCTTTGGTGTCTGTCCCAGAACTAGCTTTTGTGGACCAGGCTGGCCTCAAACTCACAGAGATCCGCCTACCTCTGCCTCTTGAGTGTTGGGATTAAAGCCGTGTACCACCACGGCCCACCATACACCAACTCAGAGACAAACTCTTACAGTCAGGAGCCACTGGTTTAAATGGGGGAAAGCCTTTTGAAGAAATGTGCAGGACGATGGAGTCCTCATGAGAACCATGGGGCTGGACTTTACCTCCACCGCATGGAACTCACTCCAAGTGGAGGTGTTTGATATAAACACAGGACCAACAACTGCAGCCCTTGTGCTGTGGGCTCTGTGATGGTTTTAAACTATGATACCCAAACCACAGACAACCCAAATAAACGTAGGTAAGGTGAACTTCATTAAGAGAATACCTCCTTGATACAAAGAGCACCATTCAGAAAAGAAAAAGGAGCTGTACACGGCGGAGTGCCCTCCTGTAGCGCCAGCACTTCTGAGACAGAGGCAGGAGACTGCCACACATTTGAAGCCCCACACGCCTATCCTGGGAGTTCCAGACCACATAGGGAGACCCAGTGGGAGCAGGGGTGGGGTGGGGGGACAGAGAGAGAGACAGAAACCAATGAGTACTCATAAAAATTTGCAAACACCATGAAGGGGATTCCAGGACACATCAGAGACCTCTCAATAACAAAGGCAAGCTAGGCTCGGTGGGTGCACCACTTGTGTAGGAAGCATGAGGACCTAGTTCAAATCCCCAGCACCCATGTAAGAAACCAAGCATGGATGAGCATGCCAGTAACCCCAGCTTTGGGGAGTGTGGTGTTGGAGACAGGTAAACCCCAAGATCTCACTGTCCAGCTAGCCTGGCTGAAGGGTGAGCTTTAGGTTCGGTGTGAGACCCTGTCTCAAGGCAATAAGGCGGAGAGTGACAATCACTCAACACCCTGCTCTGGGCTCTACATGTACAAAAACATGCATGCTCACACTCGTGTATACATACCTCATGACACGCTCACACATAAAACAATAGCCCAACGAAAGAACTGGCAAAGAAGCCGGGTGTGATGTTATATGCCTGTAGTCCCAGCTACTTGGGAGGGTGAGGCAGAAGGATTCACTTAAATCATGATTCTGAGACCAGCCTGGGCATCATAGTAAAACCCATCTCATAAACAAACAGGGGGTGCACCTCAGCTGACCGAGTGTTTGTCTGCGCCCTGGTTTTCACCAAAGCCCACTGTAAACTGGTCAGCCTCTTAACCCTGGCATTTGGGAGGTAAAGGTGTGGGCATCAGAACATTAAGGTTATTCTCAGTTACACAGCAAGCTCAAGGCCAGCCTGCAATACCTGAGACAGCGTCAAAACACATAATGAAAACAGCCCAGTGATGGCACACGCCTTTAATCTCAGCACTTGGGAGGCAGAGGCTGTGAATTTGAGGTCAGCCTGGTCTACAGAGTACGATCCCCGTCCCAACAAACAAAACAAACCTTAAAACTTACAACTGCCTATTACCTGCAGCTCCAGGGGACCCAGTGCCCTCCTCTGGCTTTCTAAGGCATCCAGGCTCACGTCCACATACCCACACAGAGATACACAGACACAAAAGTAAAACTAAATTTCAAAACAACAAACAAAAACCAGCATGTGGCTGAGGCGATCACAGGTCTTAGTGAAGACCCACTACAACTGTTCTATGGGAGATGATGTGCCCACCAGACTCCCTTCCAAACATGCCTGTTTGTGCCGCAGATCAGCGCTGCTGCCGGCTTCGGAGACACATTCTTGCAGCGGGCGGCAATTACTGCATATTCAAACCTGGTCAGAATGCTGAGAAACACCAACTGCTGAAAGCCGAGCCCTATAAAGGACACCCCTCCATGGTGGACGAAGGCAGTGGAATGAAGGGGGTCTGGGGGAGGGGAGGGTGCTGTCTTCTGAACAGGAGAGGGACGGTGCACTCTGGAGCCTTCAGCGGCTGTGACTGTCTAGACACATCCTGCGGAAGGCAGGCCATCAACGCCATCGTAGAGCCAGGAGCAAACCGAGTACACAAAGACGTGTAAACAAAACCAGAACTAATCCTGCAAGCTGTCATCAGACAATATTAATAGACAGTTTGTCAGAGAGAGAGAAGAAGGGGAGGTCAGCCTTCCGCTGTTCAGATAAGACACTGAGATTCTTTTTATCTTTAGACTTATTTTATCTAAGCACATTCCCTGCACGTGTGTATGTGCACCACGCCCATGCCTGGTGCCTGCAGAGGTCAGAGGATGACTGTGGGTCACCATGTGGGTGCAGGGAAGCAAACTCAGGTCTTCCGCAAGGGCAAGTGCTCCTAACCACTGAAATTCTTTAAGATTTATTTTATTTTGTGTGTATGTGTATACATTTGTATGAACGTATGGCACATGTGTACCCAGGAGGCCAGAAAGGACAACAGATTCTCTGGACCTGGAGTAATGGCAGTTGTGAGCTGCCACTAGGTCCTGGGAACCAAACCCAGATCCTTCGCAATTCTTTTTCTTTTCCTTTTTTATTATGCATACGTGGGTGTTTTGCCAGCATGTATGTGTGTGTACCACTTGCATGCCTGGTGGCTGCAGAGACCGGAAGAGGGGTCAGACCCTCACGGACCGGAGTGACAGACACCTGTGAGCAGTCACATGGGTGCTGGGGAAAGAACCTGGGTCCTCTGGAAGAGCCCCAAGCATGGAGGCATCTCTCCAGCTCCCTCAGAGATTCTTACTCTTAGTGCGGCACATACTACAGTTTGAAGGCCTTGGTGTAAAGGTTAAGGTCGTAGGCTTTGGAGAACAACCGAGTGCTGTTAAATCCTTACTTGGCCACTGACCAGCTACTATCTAGGCAAGGCACTTAATCTAGCTCTACTAAATACGTATAGTAAAGTCAATCTCATGGGGACGGTGGAGAGGTGTGGGAATTCAATGTGATTGGCCTAGAACTTGGCTCTATGGAAGAAAGGTGTGAGAGTTACTGAAATCATTCTCTACCTCGATATCAGGAGCAGGAATCCAGACAACCTACTTTTCATGGTCAGTGAGCACAGAGGCCTCATTGTGTAAGAGTTTCTGTCTCAATTTGTATCTCCCCTCGCAGTGGATTGTGGGTCTCAAGCTGCCCCTCCCCTTGCAGTGGGTTGTGGGTCTCAAGCTGCCCCTCCCCTCGCAGTGGGTTGTGGGTCTCAAACTGCCCCTCCCCTCGTGCTATGGGGACTGTGGGACTTGTGCATGCCCGGCAAGTGCTCTACCCAATGAGCCTCTTTCATTTTCAGACAGACAAGATCTCTCTAAATTATCCAAGTTGGCCTTGAAGTTAAGGTTTTTTTCTATCATAGGCTATGTTAGGAGCACGGTGCCAGCAATCCCAGCACCCGGGAGGCTGAGGCAGGAGAATCACCACAAATTCAAAGTACACCTAGCCTACATAGTAAATTCTAGAACAGCCAGGGCTATAAAAAAAAATCTACCTTGTATGTGTATACACACACACACACACACACGCACACACACATATATAAACACACACAATTGGTAAAGTGCTTGTCACATAGGAATGAAGACCTGGGTTTGATCCCAAGAACACACAATAAACCACCACCGACAAAAACCCCGGCTGTCCTGTGACATGTCCTGTTTCTCTGGGGCTTACTGACCAGCCAGTCTAGACTAATTAAAAAAAAAAAAAAAACACCAATGTAGCTAGCACCTGAGAAACAACACAACACTCAAGGTTGACCTCTGACCTCCACACACATGCACCTGCATGCGCATACCCAGAAAAGGTAGAAAAGAAACTTTAAAGTGGAAAAACTACTATTAAATATTTGAGTTTAAAGTTTCCCCAAATTTACGTTTCCTAAACTTCTAAAAGGCCTGCTCACAGACAAAAACAGAAAGTGGGGTGCAGAATACAAGGAAACAGTCAGCAGAATGAATGAAAATGGAAAAACATGATGATGTGACATACAATTCAAAACAGAAATGTATTTTATAAGCTGAATTAAACAACAACAAAACGGGCACCAAGAGAAGACACTCCAACATCCAGTGTGTTCCAGACCAGCTAACGTTAAAACCACCACCGGAAGTCTTACACAGCAGCCACAGAAGAAAAATAGGGAGAACAGGAAAAGGGGGTGAGAAGGAAGGAGCCCAAAGGAAAAAAAAAAGACGGTGAAGAATGGCGAGCAAAGAGAAGAAACCAACTTTTATAAAACACTGCTGCTTCTCCCTGGGCTGTAAAAAGCGTCGTGTAAATCATCCGGTCTGTGAGCCACAGTGAGCAGACACCAAGTCCTGAACACAAACTGAGGTGATGGGACAAACTCTCAGAGCTTCCAAGGCGGAAGTGTGGACACATCCACGCGCCCGCGCCTGCTAATCCCTTTTCTTTCAGCTTTGCCATGGGGAAAAATGAAGAGCCCGGAGTGTGAGGCCTGCCCACTGTTCTTCAGCACCTACCCCAAGGCTGGAACAAGATGCCAGTCACTCCAGACAGCTCAGAACCAACGCGTCCAAACAAGAAAAGCCCGTCACTTCCTACTCCACAGCATCTCTGAGGGACAGACGACGCTCTGCAGTACCACCCGCTTGTCTATGGTGTCTGTCACCTCAGCTACTGGGAGCCCATGGGTAGGAGAGAAAAGATCCCCAGAGCTCCAGGTCAGTGAGACCCTGTCAAAAGTAAAGTGGACAGGGATGGAGGAAGACATCCAATCACCGACCTCTGGACTTCACATCGGCACCTACACACATGCATTTGGGTGTGCATACACACATACACACGCCAAACAAATATCAATTTAATTATTCATGGTAAACATTTAATTTTTTTTTTTTACATTTTATTACTTATGTTGAAGGCATGCCCTGTATAGGGGTCAGAGGAAAATTTATAGGACTCTCTCTTCCCACCACGTGGGTCAGGGGTACGGAACGCGGGTTGTCAGGATTGGCAACAAGTGCCTTTACCCACTGAGCCACCTCACCGGCCCCCTACAGATCTATTTATTAAAATTAGGCATGTCCCCTATTAGCTAACCCTCACAAACAGCAGTCTATTCCCAGGGTGCGTCACGAACTCAGGGAGTCCACTTCTTTTATATCTTTGGAGGCCTCTCAAGAAACCACACCTGAACCTTGCCCATTCGAACCAGCACACAGGCCAAGTCAATTAAGGCTTTAACCAAGCTAATGGAGGCCAGGTGACATGCCCACGGCCTTCCAAGTTTATCGAGCAAAACTAACGGCTTACGGTGTTTACAACGCACTAATGACAGATTCATTCAATCCCTCACGGAAGGTGCAGCACTCCGAAGGGGAGAAAAAGTCCAGTTCAATGTCCTCCAGTTTTACAAAAGAGGGTAAGAGGGTCTCTTCCAAAGCCACCCATTAAATCATCCCAACCCCTCGTGCTAGGAGCCCCGACAGGACGCTGAACTTGAAACAAATGTGTGGTACGGTATTGACATCATTGCATAAAAGCAGCCTCAAGTACGCAGACTGAAGAGTGTGGCTGTGGGCATCTATGCAACCACACCCTCTGGTGGCTTCCCGGGCACGCTCGGGCCGAGCGGCGTCACGGCGTCGGGGTGGCCAACCGAGTAGAGGTCCCGGGTGTGTGACTCAGACACGGAGCATCAGAGAGCACGGCGTCCCGGTGCCCCAGGCATCCAGGACCGGGGGACCTGGGCTTTCCACCTTCAGGACCAGTCCAAAGAGCCTTGCCCTGCCCTGCCCGGCCCGGCCTCACCCGGCCCGGCCCGACCCTGCCCGACCCTGCCCTGCCCGGCCCTGCCCCTCCCAGCAGGCCGTGGCTCTTCTCCGCACCCTCCCCTAGGCGCCCAGCATCTCCACCGCCCCGCGGGCGCGGGCCCCAGACTCACCATGGCCGCGAGCGCGCCCACAGCCCGGAGTCACACGGCGCCGGCGACGCCCGTTGTCCTGGTGACGCCAGCCCGGCGCCCCGCCCCGGCCTCAAGGTGGGCTCGGGGACGGCCATTGGCCCGCATCCGCCACGTGATCTGTAGGCGCGCCCTTCGGCCCGCCCACTTCTTCTGGCCCCACGCAGCTTTGAGGCGGGGCCTGGGTGTCTTGGGGCTCCACACCTGGCCGGTCCCATCATGGCAGTATCACCTTGATGCTCTCCCAACCGACAGGTGACCCAGCCATGCACTGTCCAGAGCAAGATACCTTTGTGGATTCTCTTTACTGAAAATAAAAAAAAAAAAAAAAAACTACAACAAAAAACCCAAACTATTGGAGCTGGAGATGCGACTTAGTTGGTAGACTGCTTGCCATGAGTGCATGAAGCCCTGGCTTCCTCCCACAGCGCCACATAAACCCAACCTGGAGGTGTACTCCTGTTCTCCTAGCATGGGGGAGATGGGGGCGGGAGGATCAGAAATCCAAGGTCATCCTCAGCAACAGAGAGTTTGAGCTCAGCCTGAGGTACAAGAGACTTTGTCTTGGAAAAACAAACTCCAATTACCCAAGAGGCCGTGGGCAGCACTCGGGAGGCAGAGACAGGTGGATCTCTGTGAGTTCGAGGCCAGCTTGGTCTACAGAATTAGTGCCAGGACAGGTTCCAAAACTACACAGAGGAACCCTGTTTCCCCAAACAAACAACAACAACAACAACAAAAGACCAGTGACTAAGACCACAGTAATCCCAATACCTGAAAATGTCATGACTGGTGTTGGGTCCATGAGGGTTGGGCAAAGAAGACAAACCACTAAAGCAAACTTTATTCCAGGAAAAAATTAAAAATTAAAAAAATAAATCTCCATGGGGCACAAAAAGCTTATCAGCTGAGACCACAGCCAGGATGGATTTGTAAGGCTGTGACAATGGGCTGTTTCCCAACTCCCCCTTTTATAGCAAGAAACAAGGATTAGGTGTGAACAAAAAAATTTTTACAATCTCAAGGTAAAACTCAGATACAAATTGCTTTTTTTATTATTTTTTTTTTTTTACAATTTCCATTAACAGGGTCTTTTTTAGTTAAACTAGTGTATGCATTTTGCCCATTGTTTTTTTTTTTTTTCTGGCACTTTCTGATGGTATTTACCAAAGTTCCACACTCCCCAGAGACTGCTTGTTTTGTGTAGCAGGAAAGGGTATGGGAAAATGCCCAACCAAAATATCAGGTGCATCCCATCATTTAAACGTTAGCTCAGCTCACATCAGTTGCTGGTCATGAGTGGTCAGGGGGTTTTCTAAAAGCTGACCCTCAGTTTGTAGAGGGCCACTTCAGCCTTGCAGACAGAGCTATGGGCTGTAAAGCAAAGTAGCCCACTGTTAATAGTTAATCCTTAAACTGCTGAGAAAGCTGCCGACAGCCTGTTCCCATTCTCCTAGGTTTACAAGTTTACATTTCTTTATTTCTACATTCTTATTTCTGGAATCTACATTTTTATATTCTTATTCTTGGTATTCTAATCTGTTGGCGTGCATGCTTCCATTCAAATACGTAACGAAGCATGCATTTGTTCTATAAACTAATTTTTCTATTAAAGATGACTACCTGCCAGGCAGTGGTGGTGCACCCCTCTAGTCCCAGCACTCAGAAGGCAGAGGCAGGCAGATCTCTATGAGTTTGGTCTGCAGAGTATGTTCTAGGACAGCCAGAAGCTGTTAAACAGAGAAACCCTGTCTCAGATTAAAAAAAAAAAAAAAAAGACTCAAACTGGTGTACAGTGACTGAGGTGGATGGAGTAAGAAATACTTGGGAGACTGAGGCATGAGGATCCCCTTGAGTTCAGAGTTCAAAGGAAGACTGAGCAATATAGAGAGGTACCTCCCATCTCCAACACGCAAACACATTAATATGTATAATCTTTGCGGGTCCATTACTGATGGTACCTAATATGCATAGCTTCTAAGTCAGTAAATGAGACAGCAATCTGTAGCATGTTTTTAATGTGGTTGATTGTGAACCTAGCCTTTAATGGCTAAGCCGTCTCTTCAGCCCTTTAATGTGGTTGAATAAAGTGTAGATATTCCCTGATGCCGCCCATGGACCCGATGGGGAACATGGTGGCATGCAGACAGACCTGGTGCTGGAGAAGGAGCAGAGAGTATTACATCTGGATCTTGGCTATCCTGGAACTAACTCTGTAGACCAGGCTGACCTCGAACTCAGAGATCTGCCTGTTTCTACCTCCCGAGTGCTGGGATGAAAGGGTGCACTACCACCTCCTGGTTTCTTCTTCTTTAATGATACTATTTTATTTATTTATATTTTATGTGTATTGTGTTTTACTTGCATGTATGTCTGTGTGAGGGTGTCAGATTGCCTGGGATTGAAGTTATAGACAGTTGTGAACCGCCATGTGGTTGTTGAGAATTAACCCGGCTCCTCTGGAAGAGCAGCCAATGCTCTTAACTGCTGAGCCGTCTCTCCATTCCCATCCCTAATACATTCTAAAATGGTATTGTCTTGTGGTTTATCATCCTATCTAGCAGAAATATCCTCTCTCTTCTGAACTCTTCACCATGAGTACCGTTTATTCTTGACTATTGCTTTGCCAGGTACCACTTGGTAATGTGGTTTTAGTCTGTGTTCCTCTTCTTCTTCATTTTCAAATGTCCTATGCTGTGTATTTTGGAAGGCTGGTTTTAGGTGATTGGTAGATGAACTTATCAATCAGACTGGTTTCACAGACATACATGTATAGAGAGTCCTCTCTTTGAAGAGATGAAATTGCTATGTCAACAGAGAGGTGCATGCCATATTATGCCCATCTTTAACAGATGTCTTAGCTTTGAATATACATTTAATGTGTTCACAATTATAAATATTCCACTCACTTTTTTCTTTAATATTTAAGATGTTTTCTGTAATATGGCTTCAGCAGTTTTATGATACCTAGATAAGGCTCTCTGTAGTTTTTTATTTTATGTTAAGGACTTAGGATTTATTTATTTTTGTTTTATGCATATTTTATTTTAAGGGCTTACTTATTTTTGTTTTATGCATTTGGGTGTTTTCCCTGCATGCACATCTGTGCACTGCATGCATGAATGGTGTCCACAGAAGCCAGAAGCCAGTGTTGGATCCCCTGGGCCTGAGTTGCAGGCAGTGTGTAGGCACTGGGAATTGAACATGAGGCCTCTGGAAGAGATGCCAGTGTTCTTAACCACTGAGCCAGAGTCCCCGGCTTACAGGCAGGAGCCACTGTGACCAGTTTATCCTTTTAAAGATTATGCACACCAGCTCATAATGATACAGACTTCTGGTGTTTGGGCTTTCTCATAACATTTTAATCTTTTACAAGATAAACAAATTGATTGTAACTTGCATAATTAAGAATTTGTTTTTTGTTTTGTTTTGTTTTTCGAGACAGGGTTTCTCTGTGGCTTTGGAGCCTGTCCTGGAACTAGCTCTGTAGACCAGGCTGGTCTCGAACTTACAGAGATCTGCCTGCCTCTGCCTCCCGAGTGCTGGGATTAAAGGTGTGTGCCACCATCGCCCGGCTCCATAATTAAGAATTTGAACAAGTCAGAGTTCTAAGTGGGCAAAGACATTTTGGGATTAGAGCAGAGGGCCTTTGGGGCAGGGAATACCTTTTTGCCAGACATCTTCTAATATTTGGAGATTTTTTCTTGTTTTTTTTTTTTTTTTTTTTTTTTTTTTTTTTTTTTTTTTTTTTTTTTTTTTTTTTTTTTTTGGCGTGTTTGCTTGATGTATAGTCTTTTTTTGTTTCTGTTTGATATTTGATCTTTTGGGACAGGGTCTCATTACCTCTAGTCTACTGTTTGTCATCCTCTTGTCTTGGCCTTAAGTATTGTAAGTAGTGGACACTTCCTAAGTCCTATGTTTCTACAATATACTTCCAAATGGGAATTATTTGTATGCATGTATGTTCATGCTGGGGGGAGGTCTACATGTATGTATGTGCTCATGTGATGCCCCTGAAAAAGGTCAAAGGTCAATCTTGGATGTCATTCCTTAGGTGCATTTTGAGATAGGTCTCTCAATGGCCTAGAAGTTACCAAGTAACTTCTCATTGGCCTGGCTGGTCAGTGAGCCCCAAGAATCTACCTGTCTCAATTTCTCTAGCACTGGGCTAACAAGTATATGCTACTAGACCCAGCTTCTTTAAAGTTAGTGTGTGTGTGTGTGTGTGTGTGAAGTGACTGCAGTTGTCCTTGGTGTCAGAGGTGTCAGATTTCCTGGAGCTGGAGTTACAAGAGACTGTGAGTCACCTGACATGGATGCTGGGACCCAAACTTGGGTCCTCTGGAAGGGCAGTGCACTCAACTTCTGGGCCATCTCTCTGGCCCCAGGCCTGAATTTTTATTTGGATGCTCAGGATTAAATCTAGGACCTCATGCTTGTCCAGCAAGCACTTTGCTAACTAAACCCTCTCCCCACCTCTGGGGATTAGTTTAACTTCTCTCTTTATACTATTTCCCCACAGAGCCCTGAAATCGCCCTACTGCCTGCCCCTCCACTTCTCACAGCGTCTGGTCCTCAGCTGGTAATGGGGTCATTCTTCCCATCCCTTCCGTTCTGCTCCTGTAGGCACCCTCCGTCCATTCTTGTGAAATGTTTTGGTTTACTTTGGTTTAGTTCTTTTTTGTTTGTTTGTTTTTTTCGTGCAAATGAAGACAAAGTTACAAAGCTCTCCAAGCAGCTACAAAGCGATCCTTTTATTTGCTCATTTGCTCCGGCAGAGTCTGGCAGGGCTTCTTAAAAGTCAATAGACAGGAAAAGATGGAGCGCTGGAACACAACAAGATGAAAACTGGGCTTTGGGTCCTTCTGCCTCAGCTCTCCCTACCTCTTCCAAGAAACAAACACCAGTCTGGCCGTCTTTTTCACGGGCAGCGTAGTAGTGAACAGGGAGTGGGGTAACAGACGACCAGCCGAGCAGTTTGAGGTACCCCCTCTGCGGGGCCCCGTTAGGAGCCTGGTGGGGTACACAGCACCTTATGCCTGTGGAATTAC